TCAAGCAAACGTCCCAGCCCAGTCCCCAGATCAAGTCCATAAGCCCCTGTTCAGACTCACGCAGCCATACGCAGAATCTGTACGCAGAATCTGTACGCAGAATCTGTACGCAGAATGCAGAAAAGTCACAGGCTGGTGGGTGCAAAGTCTTGCGGATCCCCTGGTGATGGATGCATCTCCAGGGCTCTGGCAGGTCTCAGAGTGGCTCTTCAACAGGAAGGTGAAGGCAGAGGGGGTGGGGCGGGGCGGGGGGTTCCCAGGACCCTCCTTATGAGAAGACCACACCCACAAGGAGGTACCATCGGGCTGTGACCCGATGGACAGGCTGGACTCCACCCCTTCATTCTGTTTATGAAGTTGACATGTGTTGTCATTGCCACAGGGGACAATCCACATAAACAGCAGCCCTTTGGGAACCCTGGTGGCACAGTGGTTCACAGGTCACAGGTTTGAAGCCACCAAGTGCTCCTCGGATGAAAGATGTGGCAGCCCGCTTCCATGAAGATTACAGCCTTGCAAACCCACAGGGGCAGCTCTACTCTGTCCTGTAGGGGTGGCCGTGAGTCAGCATCGAGTTGACGGCAATGGGCTTACGGAATTGTTGCTTGGCGTTCTGCTTTATTCCCCACCCCCTCCGGTGGCGTTAGTAACTGGTCGAACTTCTAGCCTCTAAACGTGTGTGCCATTCCATTTCTCTTCAGGAATCACGTGGGGGAAGCCCTTCCCAGTGAGTGCCTGCGCTTGGCCAACCAAATAAAGCTGGTTTCACTTTCGACAAGAAAACAAAAACCCAACATCTGGGTTTTGGGGACTCCGTGTGATGGCATTACGCTCCAACAACTGTGCTGTAAGTCAATTCTGACATAAGGTGAGTACCTCCCCCCTCCAGCCCCTCACGTTTTCATTGTTACTGCCTTTCATTGTCCGTGTCCTTATAAGATTGGCCCAGGGACAGCGGCAAGGGGAGGTTTGAACATGAGGGTCTCAGCAAAGGACGCTGTGTGGGGCCTACGACTGCCATCACTGCTCTGTCCGAGAGATCCAGCATCCCATCGGGATGGTTGTGTAATCGAAGGGAAGCCATTCAGAGGCAGACAAGTCTGGGGGTGCTCACCTCCGTGTTGGTTTCAGGAACCAGGTAAGAACTGAGAGGGAGTATTGTATTCTCAACATCGACCTGCAAGCTCCTCTAATTACAGGTAACCACATACCTAACAAAGTACCCTAGTCCCAAAGATCCCTGAGTTCCCTGGAGAAGTAACCTAACACCAGTGCTGGGGGCAGGGAAGGGGGAGTGACTGTCCCCTGAGCAGGGAGAGCAATTGGCAACGTGTCTGCTCCTAGAGTTAAAAGCTGCTGGGCAGATGACCATCA